CCACTGTCTTCTTTTTACTTTTATATTCTTCCTTGAAATCACTGATGAAGACTGATCTTTTTTCACTCTACTCTTAACTTCAAACACATGCCTACTCCAATCCTTCCAATGACATATGTATTTCCAGTTAGCTTCTCATTTCATTGTTTTTCAAGTTTCTGTTCTCGCTAAATCCTTACCATTTCTGTTCTAATTCCTTTCCTCTCCATCCTTCAATCAGTCTAGGAAGAAGATGTCAATACATCACATAAAAAAGCAAATAGTCTTACTTATCATCTGGAACATCATTTGACATGTGAAACTTGTATGAATAGGCATCTTTCTTTCCTCACATCCTCCCACGTTCCTACAAGAGATACCTGACTTTCTTAAAGACCTTACTTTATCAGTCATCTCCATAAATTACATCTGCAAACTACAGAACTCTCTCCTGGATTCTTCCCATCACGACCAAATATGTGTAATCTTAAAAACATCACAAATGAGCCGGTGCTGTGGTGCAGCAGGTTAAAGCCCTGGCCTGCAGCTCTGGCATCTGATATAGGTGCTGGTTTGAGTCCCAGCTGCTCTTTTTAAGATCCAGCTCCCTGCTAATGTGCCTGGGAAAACAGCAGAGTAAGGCCCAAATCCTTGGGCCCCTACACCCACATGGGAGAAACCATAAGAAGCTCTGGGCGCCTGGCTTTGGATTGGCTCTGCTCCGGCTATTGAAGCAAAATAGGGAGTGAACCAGCAGATGGAAGACATCTGTTTCTCTATCTCTTCCTCTTCTCTCTATAACTCTACCTTTCAAATAAATATAATAAATCTTTTAATGAATCAGATCCATGCTCTATTTGCTTTTGTTATCATCTTTCCTACTCCTCTTCTATGTCAGATTCGTATGCCACATACATTTCTTTATTGATATTCACCATCATTGTCCTTCCTCATAAACTGCATTATCAAACTCACTAGTGACCTTGTATAACTATTTCCAATGGCTTCTTTTTAGCATTTTGTCAATTGACTGGTGGCCTATCCTTTGCAGTGTTCTTTGATTTTGGTTAGGTTACCTTCTATGTCTAAAGCTCTGCTCCTTCCCTTGACTCTAAGCACATGCTCTGAAATTCCTTTCCACCTTAGAGATATCTTCTGGGCTCAGATCAACAAATCCAAACATGTGTTAAGCATCTCCCCCGGATATAAACATCTCAAACTCAGGGTGTGCACTCTGGGCTCAGCCTTTTTCCTGGGAAAATTTATTCTCCTTTCTGGGTTTCAGATATTAGCAGATGACACCTTAGGCTACGGAGTTCTAACAACGTAAACGCTATATTTAATTCCTCTCTCTTTTTTTAATTCTATTCAGTTGGTTTCCAAGTTCTATGTGTTCTATCTCCTTAATACATCACAAAATTGTGAGCTCTACATTGTGATTTCCACAATATGAATACAAAATGTGCCACCATCTTGATTTCTTCCTTGGATTACTGAGTTCAGCTCCCTGTTCCCCAGTTCACATCTCTAAAGCATTTTCTACCCTACAGCCAGAGCGATCATGTCACTGTCCAACCTAAGACTTTGAAATGTCTTTGTGTATGGCCATCAAGAAGACTTCTAGTTACTTTATGTGGCCAGACTTGTTTTCTGTAATCTTCACTTCTCTATATGTATCTTTGCCCAGTTTAATAATTTGCAGTCTCTTGATTTTGCCACACTCTTCGCATGAGCCTTCGTACAAGTCCATACCGACTCCTTGATCTTAAACTCTTCCCTTCAGCTTATTTTTCACTTAGCTAACTCACACGTGTCCCTATGTCTTTGTTGAATTTTTTCCACCAAGACTCTTTCTCCTACTTTTCTTACCATATGAAGGGGCATATGAATCTTTGTGGGGAAATGGAATTAAAGGATATTTATTTTGTTGCAAAAAATTTTTGAAAACCTTGCATTGTTTATTCACAGTAAACATTTTCCATGAACTTTTGGAAGATGCTTTGGGTATTACTTGTTCTTTATACCATCACAGTAGGTGGTGCCAATAGTGATTAGTATAGTTGTGGCTAATAACATTTGAGCATTTACTTTATGACAGAATAGGTTATAAGCTGATGACATTTTATCTCATACTATGCTCACAAAAACTTTATGGGATGTTATTTCTCCAGATGAATAAGCTATAAAGAGGCTAATTCTTCTGAGGCTTCAGAATTAATAAATGACACAAGTAGATTGTGAACCCGGATAACACGTTGATGAGTTTACAAACTTAAATGTCATATTTGTTGATTTTTGGGAATTTGTTACATTTTGTTGTAAAGGCTTTTTATATCCAACATTCTAACTAGACTCAAGCTCTTAGGAGGAAGTTGTACCCTTAGTTCTTGGCACACTGATCACCACATAGTATATTTCCAACAAACAGTATTTAAATCATAAAGGAACAAGATAACACATTATTCAGAAGGAAGAGTCCTTAGCCAAAATCAGATTTATACTGATGTAGTGTCTACTTATGCCAGAGTGAAATTTTGTTCCAGTATTGACTGACTTGTTGTTATCTAATCACCCTATACTGTTTCCTGTTTCTAAGAGTTTATACATCCTGTACAATTTGTATAATGTACACTCCCAGTCAACCAACTGGGAAACTCCTATTCATTCACCCAAATTCATTTGGAATTCATTTTAATCCTGAAGATTTCAAATCTTCTTCCTAGGTTCTTGTTCCTCCATTCTTTGTACATTTAACATGACACATAACAACATTAAATTATATCACTTTTTTTAACCAAGGGCATATTTTATTTTTGTGTTTGCATCCTCAGTACTTAAGTAGTAGAAATGGCTCCATATATTTTGAAATGCCAACTGAATGAAATTAGATTGAGTTATGCTTCCATTAATTATCAAGTAGGTATTTTATACTCTAAAAGTTTAGCTTTTTAATTGGCTTGTACTATAGCAAGGAATTATTTGAGTTATCTAGTATTGGGAGCTTTGGGGAAGGGATAGAACAACACCAGTGCCCATTTAACATTCCTGATGTGAGAAGGATTGGGCAAAGGACATGCAACTGGTCAGAAGCCAATAAGATTGTACCACCAGCCAATTAACATTTTAGAAAATGTGCAATTTATGATATATCAAAACTCCAATCAAATGTATTAAGAGGAAAATACCTGTAAAATCCTTCAAAATGTTATTTTTGTATTAACTGTGTTGGTCCATTCCTTTGTACTCTCCTACTGGGAACTTAGCACACTTTTTTATTTTGAATATATCATATCTGGGCTTTCTAGTCATCCTATTAGACTCTTACTTCTTCCTGAAACCCAGACAAAACTGCTAGATTAAGATTTTTAGTGTTCCTTTTATCAAGTTACGTGTCAGCTCAAGAACTTTCAGTGGCTGCTGCCTATGGAATCCTATGAGAACTCTGGATCTTGGAATTTCAGCCAGATGTTCAACCTCAATTGATTTGTGAGCCTGACACACGACTGATACTTAGTAAGTACTTTTGATGTTCTTATTTCTTTTTTCATTCTCTTCTGGAAAACAAAAATAGCAGGAACACTACTTGAAGGAACATTCCAGTTTGTGTGTTTTATTATAGTCATTCCTGTTAAAATACTAGCAAATAATGAAGAATAGACACCTCTGATTAAGCAAAGATACCAACAAAAATCATGTTAACCATAGTAGAAGTTGGATACAGTAAACAAAATCCATTCAGGGTTGGGGGAAGGTGTCCCATGAATGAACAAAATGACACAGGCACATTAGCAGTAGATAACACATCTTGAGGGAAGACAGGTGATACTTGAATTAAGGGAAATCGATAGAGAGAGTCTCAACATGACTTTCTAGTGGAAAGCTAACTCAATGGAGCCATTCTTACTTGAGGTTCCAAGCTGGGTACTCAGTCACGTGCTAAGCAAACAACTTACAAGACCTGGGAAAAGGATGCTGGGTCAAGCAAATAGAGTGGCCAAGAACAGGGTATTTTCAGCTGGGAAATCACCACCCAGTTGTCAGATTTATCTGTCCCATGGGCTCTTTCATTCTGTTTCTGGCCTTTATTTTCTGCACTGTCTATACAATGCCCTTCTTGGTTTTGATTTCATCCTTGTTATCTGACATGTCAAAGGATCAAAGAATTTAAAGTACTTCAGACTGACAGTATTTAATTTAGTTAAGAAAAAAATCAACAAAATGAAAAATTGTGCCCATTTTCCCCTTTGCATGACACTAAAATTCCAAATTAAGATGAAAGCATGAAAAGATCTGTGCAGTTCACAATAACCCACCTCTCCCCATACACATGCTTTCTAGAAACTGCGCCACTGAATTTCATGAAAGAACTTCAATGTTGCTAATTACAATCCTCAAGACATTAATGTTACTTCTCAAATCAATCTCTGCTGCTTTATTGCACACATAGAACATTGGCAACTCCTATTCTCATATCCAGATATAATTTTTGGAACAAATTTGAATTTGTGATTCATTCAACAAACAATTATATTGAGTACCTACTATGTGTCAGGCCCTGTGCTGGCTACTCAGCAAGCAATTTGGGATGACTTATTTTTATTTTAGAAAAATTCTGGTCTCTAAAGCAGTGCTTCTCAAACTGTTTTTATTAATGCATGCTCTCTTCTGCTAAATATTAAATCTTCCTCCCACATTGCCAGAATTCTGCTGACCTTGTTTAACACTGAGAATCACTGATACAAAGAACATCATCTCTGTCTTCTAGGTGTCCTTGATGGACAAAGCATCTTTGAGCTTTTATGTTCTACTGAAAAAGCATCAGACTTATTTTTCAGACATAAAACCAAATTATAATGTTAAATAGACTTTTCAGAACTATATATTCCCCCTGCCAAACTGAAATTAAAATTGCCAGTTCCCACCTATGTTGAGAATCACTGCTTTAAAGAGTTTTGGAGAAAACCAGGCAACCTCCATTTCTCCCCTCCAATCAAATCTTAAAGGAATTAGAATTTTCCTACCTGACACAACAGCTGGTGGAGTATCATAATCCTGTCTTGGGATTGAATCTTGGAATGAAAAGAGCATGAGAAAGAATGCAATGAAGTACAAAAGAAAATAAAATAGAATCTTAGTTCTACAACTTGGAGGGGCCCTCTGTGTGTCCTATGGTTACATAACCCATGGGCCTTCAAGTGGTCAAGGCATTACGATCCCCGGTTTGCAGCAAATACCATGGTTGGTCTCCAATACCACACTGACCAGGTTATTAGCACCTGTGTGACCTGCGATGACAGTACATTTTGTCCCAGAACATTTCCCTCTCTTAAGGAAGTAGTTATCCTCTCTGGCTGGCACTAGAATTTTGCAAGGCAGCCCATGAAGCATGGTATGAAACAAAGGCCTGTAGAACAAAAGAGCAAACTAAAATTTAAAAGAGATACATAAAAACTGCACATTCTCTTAGTTTATGGAGACAAGAGCATTATTGAAGCCAAAGTCTCATGACTCATTGCACTCCAGCTCTGATCCCTGTTGGTGGCCCATGAAGCAGAGCAGAGCGGGCTTCTGGCTCAAGGCAAAGGATTTTTTATGTGAGATAATTGCCAGAGCAGAGATACATGGGACAGAACCTACTGACCAGATGCCATTGAAGGTGACAAATTCTAAAGGGATTTTAATTAAATGGCATGGCAGTCAGTTCAACATTCAATGTCAGATTGCACAAAATACATCTGTTGTTTGGGAAATGAAAAAGGGCATCAACTACACACAATTTCTTTACCCAGGGATCTTTAAAAAGAAAGTGGGCCCAGGCCTATGACCTAAGTCCCCTGTCTGCAAGTAGAAGATTTTAAACCCATCCCAACTCACCTGGAGGAGGGGTAAACTGAGCCAAAGGAACCTCGTATTGTTCACATTCAAATGCCATGCCAAAACATCGTTAAATAAATGCTCTTTTGTAAACCTGTATTCCAGTCCTAAGATCTGTCTTCCATTTTAAAAGCTAAAAGCTCCAAAGATATTTTTCTACCCACTTAATAACTTTTGGACTGTCAAAATTTTCTAACTTGCTTCTCTTAACCCCAGTAGGACAGTGTTAATCACTGTCTCAGGAGTCAAGGACATGTGGGAAGACAGTTTATCTCCCGAATATTGCAAAGCACTTTGATCAAAAAAAGTGAACATTAACCAAAAGATCCACATGCAAACAAACCATAGGCATGAGTCATTTTTTTGTTTATTATATTAGAGATGTGAAGCGCTGAATTGATTACAATCCTCAAATCTAGAAGAGGTAGGATCTTTTTTTAAAGTATATTCAAAGGTTGTATTAGTATTGGATATTGGTAGTAATGCCTAGTTACCTTGGGGGGAAAATTGCAATCACAAGTTACCACTCCCAAAAAAAGGCTTCATTTTTTGGGCCATGCTAGTCATTTTCCAAGAATATATTTATGATACTTTAAAATAAATAATAAAAGCAAAAAATGTGCATTCTTAAATATTTAGAAAAAATGTAGAAAATCAAAATCATAGTAATTAAAATAGAAATGATCCCTAATCCTGCTACACAAAAATAACCACACTTCTTTTGTATTTTCTATAGCTTTAGTGCATAAATATCTTTCATAATTGATATTGTTCTCTACATGTACAGATCTACACACAACTTTTTTGACCTAGGATCATAAACAACTGTTTTCTGAATTATTTTATACGCATGTCTTTATGCTGCATTATATTCTGGGTTATGACTGGATTACGATTTGCTTAGTTTTACATTTTTATTAAATATTAGAAAGAACACTGTGCTAACCATTTCAGGGATAAAGCATTTTCTGTTATTTTAGGATAGTCCCATAAACTAGCATAACCAAATTATAATTGCCTGATGAACCAGTACAAATGTATTGAAGTGTCTCGATTATCCACCTTATCATTTGATTGACACACAAATTTAGGTTACTATCCTCACATGATCAGTATTTGAAAATATTTAGTTCCCTACACTTTCTCCAGCAATGTGTATTATTTGGATAATTTTGGGTGGGATGTGTATGTCTGTGTGGTATGCATACATGTGTATGTCTGACTCAATTATATTTTCTTTATTACTATTTTTGGTATGTTTTGACTATCCTATTTCTTCTTTTAACAGCTACTTATGATCTTTGGCATTTTAATTATTGGGGTTTTTCTATTTTGTAAATTTATTTGAACTCACAATCCAGTTTTTAAATAACAAAAAATGAAAATTTGCAAACCAATTGTTTCATAATACTAGACTTTCATTTGATGCTTACTCATTTATTGTTTGTATTACAAGATTACAAGCTAAGGTCTTTTATTTTATAATAAGACTGAATACATTTGTTAAGAAACTGATCTTTCTCTCAATATTTTCTATCTTGAATTTGACTGTTATTAATTAACATTTTTTTCCTGAAAACCACTTAAGGATAATACTCACTGGTATTTATTATACTAGTTCCTGAACCAAGTTTCCATTTAACACCCTGTGTTTCTTTTTATAACTTTCAGTCATAACGCCGTTATTCATATCTAATATTGGAGGGAGGGGGCAATCTCTAAGCAAAGTGAGTAATTAATGATTTTTCCCTGAAAACATCAGAGTTTCAGAGCAGTGAAGGAATGGTGTGACTATAATATGTTAGAGAACAGGGAACAAATGGAGTACAATTAGAAGATTATTCTTGTGAGTGGCCATTGTTACACCATGGGAATCCAATGATGTCAGAAATCACCAGTGGCTTGGGGCACACACTGCACTGCAGATAAGGTTTCTACAGAACAAAAACTTTCTATTGCTATCAACAGATGGTGGTGACATTGTAAGCCACTGTTGACCAGCAACTGAACAAACGAGAGGAGATAAGCAATGTGTAAAACAAGATTGTCGTGCAATTCAGAGGTTCTCATAACACCATCAAATCCCTCCTGGTTTCTGCTAAAGCTTACCACACAGTGATAAGAAATTAGGGATAATGGGGCTTTGGTTCCACCAAGGGAATCCTGCGACAAAAAATCAACAACAAAAAAAAAAAGCTAGAAAAAATCCTCAAGGTCAGCACAGCCCTGGAATAAAGCAACTGCACTGCTTGCATAAAATTCATCTCTTTTCAGCCTTCTGGATTCTACCAAGCCTAAAAATAGGAAGAGAACTGAACTGTAAACGTATGAGATGGGTATATTGTAGAGGAAAGGTAATTAAACTAAATAGCATCCATTCAAAAATGTGGGGTCATAGAGGACCAAATGTATCTGTTTTCATGAAAATGAAAAAGAGGCTTTGGCTCAGTACAATTCCTTTAGCCAGGGAGCATAAGGCAAATGGGATGGAACCTGTGCCAAAGTCACTCCTTCTGAAAGTGGAGAATTCAAATCCAGCTCCAGCTCCTCCCGGCCCTGGTCACTGCCTACTCTGAATTATTCACTCGATCTCACTCTGATCTACTCTTGAAACCTATCTCTTCCTGGCGTGGAGGTTCCTCTCTCAATCCTGACTTCAGGGCTCCCGTCTCATTTGGCAGGATTTTAGTGAGCTGAGATGTCTGACAGATTAAGAAAAAGTGCAGGTAGGAAACAGACACTGTTCTATAGCTTTGGAGTAGCCTTCTATGGCAACGTGGTTGAAATGAACTGGAGAAAATTGAGTGAAAGCAGAAAGAACAGTTAGGAGGGTATTACAGTTCATCAAAGGAAGCCCAGGGTCAGCAACTTTGGAAATGTGGAAGAAAGGATGTATTTGACAAATATCTATGAAACAAAATTGTTAGGCTTGAACGTAATCATATACGGTAGGAAGGAAGAAAGGGTCTGGACTGAATTCTAAGTGTATGACTTGGCTGTTGGGCAAATGGTCATGATATTAGCTTGAAAGGAAACGGAACAGAAACAAGAGGAAGAGAGTTCAGTTGGAAGGAAGCTCATGAGATTAGTTTGGGTCATGCTAACTTTGAGATGACTGAGGGAGATTTCCATGGAGATACTTAGCAAGTAGTTCTGTAAACAGGTTTAACATCCTAAGATGAGGTTAGCATTGAGGACTCAGGTGTAGGCGTCTTCAGCATCGAAGGCAGGGTTTCAAATAATGAAAGTGGATGAGATTGCTTAAGGAAATCATGTGGAATGAAAAACCAAGTTAGAAATGAAACCCTGGGTTAGCAACTTGTGCAAGAAAAGAAGAAATGGCCAGAGAATTTGGTGGACAACCAGGAAAGCCTCAGATAACAGTGATAAATTTGGATTTGTTGAGGGCAAACTGGGTCCAATATTCAAATGCAGGTAAATTCTATATCAAGCTCTCACTATTTGGCTTATCTTGAAAAACTTGAAGGTACAACCACCTTGATTCCTTGTGTCCATGTAGCAACAGCTGTCTGGAGATGAGTAATGGCTGTCTTTCTGACCAGTCAGGCGCATTCCAGGCTGCCAAACACACCAACTCAGCGTTTGCCCATTTCTCAGGCAGAGAGATAATTTATTGTATTAAAAATTTCTAAACTATAATCTCTGGTGTCCTGTTAACATGATATGATCATGTTTATATTTATTGTATTAAAAATTTCTAAACTATAATCTCTGGTGTCCTGTTAACATGATATGATCATGTTTATATTTATGATACAAGCAAATATAAATTTTGATTGAACAAGGGTCTTCAAAAAATTCATGTAAAATGTACTTTATGAAAAACTATGGATAAATTTGATTTTTTTGCTCTAAAATAAGTTTGTGTTTTAAATCTACTTTTCCATGAACTTTATGAAGTACCTTCATAGATTTCCAAGTTATTTTACTTGAATTCAAGTCAAGATCATTCTTTAATGTGATTCATCTACACTCTGAAGGACTTTTAAGTTTGCAGTCCTGGTAGAGTGTGTTAGTAGCTAAAGTGGAGACTTTAAAGAAATCCATACATCTCATTTGAATATTACATCCCATCTGCATGAGTCTCCCACCAATTAGAAGCCAATGGAGGTAAGGGCAGTTAAATTAATGAGCACTACTGTGTACTAGGTATGTTATATCTATCATTTCATTTAACACTGAAACTTCCTTGGTATGTAAATGTTGTCATTCCCATGTTGTAAAAGAGGAAGTGAAAGTTCAAAGAGGTTAAGTAACTTGACTAAACGTCCTTGGGTAATAAGAGGGCAGAAATAGGCTTTGATTTCAAGTTTAACTCTGAAGTCTACCGGTCATCCAAGTTGCTAGGCTGCCTTCCCTGAGTCAGTGAGAATGTCAGAAAAATTCCATCAGGTAGGGAAATCTGATTTTAAAAATGCAACCTCAACTACATAATAGCCACTCCAAATGCCAATCAAAATTCAAATAAAATGGAATCTATGATGGCGTATCAAAATATTAGAGTGACAGCCTAAGGAAAAAATAATATTCTATACACTAACAAATTTAACTTTTTTTGAATAAATCAACAAAGCCATACTATCATCTTGCTACCTTTTCAGACTCTTACAGAACTTTAAATATTTTCTTAATATGTTACATTGTCTAGTACAAATATGAAGGGAGAAAAGAATAAAAAGAGGAGAAAAACCTAGAGGAAATTTAGTGTTACAAATAAGGCACAAACTTAAAACTTTTATTTTCTAAGAAAGGGAGAGGTGTATTATTGAATTATTATTATTACCAGCTAGGTAAAAGCAATCTCCTATAATTATGTTCTTGTTGCAAATGCTAAAATATACACTCCTAATACATATTATTGAATCAATAAACACTATAATTCTTAGTTTGTGCTATATATTTTAGGCTATTTTTTCAATTCCTTACAGGATTTGGTGCTATACTCAGTTAATCTAGCTCTTGTATGTTTAGTAGTTCACAGACTCGACCTTCAGCAAGTCAGCTAGCTTTGCTTCCGATTTAAAGATGTCAAACTTACAAAGTATCTCATTCTGTGCTTTCTGACACTTCTATCTCCCTCTTTTAGCAGCTTCCAGGTTGTCATAAAATACAGAAAAATCCCATTGCCTCACTCACTCAGAATTTGTATCACTGAAGGAGGAGGCGGTGGATAGGGAGGCAGTCTGTAATGGGAACTTGAGAAACTTCAGGTCTCCTAATGCTGTTCTTGATGCCTGCTTTATCAGTATTGTACAAAGAGACTATAAATAACTCTTCCATGTTTCTGAAAGGGATGAAACATTATATCCTCAAGGTCTACCTCCCTGATAAAAAATAGCAGTATCCTCATCCACAGTTAAAGGTAGTCTTCCATATGACTTCTAAACTTCTTAATCATAAACTTAAGAAAACATTTGATCTAACCAAAGCAATCATATAGGTAAATAACCACCAAGTGCTTTTCACAGGTTCAGCAACTGAGGTCTTAGAGATAAGTACTACATTCATGTAAACAGAACTGAATTTCTTTATTGAAACAGGGTGGCTCTTTCCATTAAGTGACATAAGTTTTCTTCCTATTTAGAGCATATTAGGGAAGCCTCAGAGGGCATGTGAGGAGCTTCTTATATGGCAAAAGAAACCTATGAGTCAGCATCATGTATTTGGCAACCAAGCCAATGCTGTAAGGTAAACTCCTTATACATGGCTAGTGAGCATAGTGTTCTTACCTATTTGCACAGGATGCCTAATACATTAAGAGTAACTAAGAGACAGCAGGCTGAAAGATACATAATTGTATAGTTGAAGGAGTTCCACTTATCATCAGGTTCAGTATCTCTACTGAGATAGAAAGGGAAATTGAGGCCAGAAGATACCAGCTTTCTAAGGACAGATAGCATCAATGGACTCAATGGAAGTTGAATCTAGTGTTTCTGATTTCTACGGCACTGCTCTTTCTAAAATATTTAAGTTGCTTCATTCAGAAGAATTTTTTTTACGTCTTTAAAAGTGACAAGATTATCTATACTAACATTTATGGAAAACAAAACTTTTACTGATGGTGTCATGTGAGAAGTTTGCTGTGCTGTTTTCACTGTTCTCTATAAAAAATTTCAATATTCTAAGTAATAGTAGATATTTACCTCCTTGAATATTGGGGAAACTGACTTAAAAACAAAGTTTTGCCCCTTATTTTAATGCACCTAATTAATATCAAATCAAAATTGTAACAGGCATTTTTCAATAGATTTTCATTTCTTTAGGAGAAACAGGACTAGTGTAAAATACTCCAACCTGAAAGATGAAGCACGTTAGATTCCCTTCCTTCTTTCACCATCATCTGTATCAACACATCCAGAGAAAGATTAAAGGAACTCAATTATACCAAGATGTTCCTGACTTTCTATTGACGTATACATTGAAAGTAAGAAGCCTGTTGAGTGAGTCACGGAGTTGGCTCCTTGCTTGTGGATAAGTTGGGAAAGATCTGCTGGTTGAACTACAAGCAGCTGGGGAAAGAAAATGAGGCTCAAGTATATCAAAGCCCAAGGTCTAGATTTGCAGGTGTGTGAAAAATGACACCTTTGCAAAAACAGATATTATGCATGATGCTCTGTGTTGTAAGAACAGGAATTAACTGAATATAAAACCAACTCAATGGATCCCTTAGCTTAACAAGGTGATAATTTACCCTGGAATTGAATATACATGCAGAGCATAGCTTATTCTTACTTAAGTCTAAAAAGTGTGTTCATCAGTGGTGCTGAAACAGTTTGACTCTGATCAAGGAAGTCAATTTCAATGAAACAAGACAAGCAAATCTTCAACTTACCGTTCCTGTTGTGCCCAAAGACAGGTGATTCATCTGTTGTGTCAGGGGACCCATCATGTTTGCTGGCTGCATTGACATAGGATGGTCCATTGTTGGTGTAATCACAGCACCCTACAAACACATACAATGTACATCTGACAACAAGTTCCACAGGAAGGAAGCTTAAAAAAATACAATAAATGGTGCTAATGAGTTAAACAAATGTGTTTTTACTGAAAAAGCTGATTCAAACTTAAATGATTTTTATGTCAGTCCACCTCAGTTTGTGCTTATCTGAATATGTGGCATTAAAAACATCCTTTCCTTTGATAGGATTTATCTGTGATATGTCTAATATCTGTCATCTACATTTCCCAAAATTTATGTAGAATGCATCAAAAGAAACCATACAATATATACCCTCTCTACTATTATTATAAATATAAACTTTTCTCATCAATAAGAACATTCATGGAGAATTTGTTATATTTTATGATATTAAATGAAATCTTGAGTTTATGTCTTTCATCCATGATTCATATAGATAATTCTTAATCATGCAAATGCAATCTATTTCTAGGAGGACAGTGAAAGTCTAGATGGGTTTCCTGATAAGATTTCATTGAAGAACATATTACTATCTAATGTTGATGATCTAGAAATCTAAGTTACTATTTCCCATGTCTTTTCCTCCTAATCTTTTGACTATTTTCTACCTCTCTGTATTTTTGATACAAGAAAGGAGAATATTGAACTCTATTAAAGCAGGTTAAATGTTTATGTCCTTTGATACATTAAAACTTCCAAAAAAAGAAGCAAACCTGTTAAGATTTTTAAATCAGATGTTAGGAAAGGTATACTTCTAGAATATATCCTTCGATTTATTTTGACTGTTGGAAATACAGGAAATAATAGACATTTTTAAAGCTTCCATCCAAACACAATGTGTCATATGCCTAGAGAAGGATGGAGTCAGGCCATGTATATTGTCATTCTTCCTCTATTACTCTCCTTTAATGAGCTAATTTGGAGAGGCGAACAATATTTTTTTTAAAAAAAGAAACAAAATTCAAAAGCTCTGGCTAGATGGAATCTTTGAGATTATATAATTCTAGTGATTTATTTTAGAGATTATACTAAAGGCAACAGCTTATGACCTACCAACCCATTGAAATAACCGATTGTAAAATGATTATGTATCTTAAGCAGTTATTCTTTCTCCAAAATATCTTCCATACTATGTTTTCTTTCATGTATGTGAATATTTTGTAGAAACAGAATCAGGACAGATACATGTAGATGACAAGATCTCAGCACTCATATTAATGGCCCACAGGCAAATGCTTCCTAAAGTTTGTTTGCACAGGATGATCCACACCTCATGGTTTCATCCATATCCAACTTCCTGAGTGCATCTGTGAAGAGATCAAGATACCATTCAGCCTCTCCAATGAGCTCCTCCACATTAATTTTGAGAGATAATAGAAATTGGGTCAGATAATTGTAAATGCTTGATAAACAGTGACATTTGGAGTTTTGAGCTAGAAACAGTCGGGATACATCTGTGTAGTTGTATAGGTATGTAGCTTGTAAATACACATAGCAGCGCATTTGTATTCTCTGAATTTCTTGATGCGTCTGTGAATTGTCATTCACCAGGATGCATCTTAAACTAAATATATGATAAGGTAAGCTATTACATAACTATAATTCTGCCACGTCACTTTTTCTCCCTGCTGCCTGAATCTCTTATGCAAAAGCATCTTTATTTTTCCCTTTCTAAAAATGCTTACTGGCCTTCATTTCAAGAATTTTTGTGTGTGCCAGACCAGAAGTAAACCCCTCAGGCTCCTCTTAAGGAACTAAGGTTTTTCTTAAATCACCTGGGGAGAGGATAAATTATAAAACAGCCTCCAAGTTAAGATGGAAGCCTTAAAGCATTTTTTTTTTTGAACCCAAACTGGCACGTTCACAACATTCAAACCTCAGATTGTGCAAGATTCCAGTTCTTTACTTATTCTATCCTAGAATAATTGTTCCTGACCTTCCAACACGAAGTTAAACTATCGCAGTCTTGGAATCCCCACAGTCAGCCTGTTCTAGTCACAGATAGGATCATTCAAATACGCTGGTGTTTGGTAAGGGTGCTTTCTTCTCAATGACCTGGAGTTTGCCCACTAACCAGGGTGTGTGAGGTAGATTTTGATCGTTGGGAGGCAATATGCAAATGAGGCAGGTGAACATGTGACAGAACATTCACAATTCATACCTGAGAACAGAAGGACTGAACACTTGCACTTGGAATTAATTTAAGAAAGACTGTATTTTCATGGAAAGCAGCATTGGGCGACTCATTTGATTTTGGAAGTCGCAGAATGAGTGCTGCTTCTGTGTATTAACCAAAAATCTGACCATGAAAGAGAAGGCTGGGAAGATGTCTGACATAATTTGGAAATGCAAATAGCAGCACTAGGAACAGTGTGGGAAACCACGTAAAAAATTCCTTTCCTAAGCAGACCATTTACTGCAAAGAGAAAATAAAATAAGGATTCTTAGAGGAGGACATATAAGACTATACATCCTTGTTCAGACTCTGTAAAAATGTTCAATGAATAAAACATTTCCACAAATTATTTAGAATATAAAACCTTTAATCTCAAGGGAGTGGAAGAAATTTAATGAGGAAGCTGGAAGTCATTGACAGGAACCCTTTGGAGAAATGAATTTTCCCGGTGATATTTTATTACAAGGGACAAAGAACTTTCCAAGTCTTGTGTGTTGGTTACCTACAGGCAAGAGTGGTATTTACCACTCACTTTGCTTATCCTAGATTACAGAATCTCCTTTGTAGTGTGTTGGACAAAAAAAGGAAGAAAAAGAAAGGAAAAACCTTATGGTTGTAAAGGCAACTATAATTGTGCCTCATTAAATACATTGTCAAATCCATTCCTACTCAATGCATTTAAGTCATGGATTGAAGAGTGTATTGTGACAGATGTTGCCAACACATTAAGGGTAATTTCGTTGATGTGAAATGTATAGAATGTGCTGCCTGACAGAGTCCACTTTGCAAACAGCACAGCAAAAGGAAACAGATTTTTCATTTTAGCATCCTCGGATGTCTGGGTTTGCTCAATGTTTAAGCTGTAAAGAAAAGTATTGTAGCATGCTGTAATTCCACTGAAAAACACAATGACCAAACAGCTGACAAAAACGTCTGGCCCATGCTAGCCCCTACGTCTGCAAAACAAAGCTGCTCCCACCGAACACAGAGAATCTGGCGGCTCTTGTTCTGAAATAAATAAATCCAACAGCTATTTGGGTGAAGTTTCCAAAGACCATCATGTGTGGAGTAAATATAGTTGACATAAGGCCAGGAAAGCATCTGGGTCATTAACCTTCTGCCAATATTTGAAAGAAATTGTAAGTTCTTAAGAGTTCATCAATATTTTGATTTCCCAATGGAACTAGAGGACCATTGGCAAATTGGATAAAATATGTGCAGCTTCTCTCTCTTTAAGAGCATGTCTAACTGCCTTAAAACCCACATTAATGCCAGAGCATGAGCTCCAATGAGAAGAACTTGATGTATTCATGAGTGTGTGTGTGTGTACATGCACACACTTAGAGTCCTGTTGGGGATAGAAAAAAAAAAATGGGGCAAGAAATGTCCCATTAGAAACATTCACTAATCCTCAGCCACCTTGAGAATTTCCAAACCAACATGGAGAGACAATCTGACTTTCAAAAATTATGTTTGAAATCCAGATAGCTGTGGCAAACATGGTAGCCCTCAGCTTTGGAATCATGTTATAATGATCTGAGGTAAATGTTGGATGGATGGGAGAATGATGAACTATCAGGTAAGCTGGAAGCCACATTTCCCTAGAACTCCATTTTAGCTCATAATTCCTTCCTTGCTTCTTTAACTACACCTTTCAATACTGTACCTTCCAAGCAGGCAAATATTGTGTTTAAAAATATTAATAACATTTATATATAGGAATTGAATTCAGTGGATACTCAAAACAGTCTTTGTAAATGAATTTTATATATATCAGTACCACTAATTGCTCAGTTAATTTAAAATGATTAATATTTATCAACATTTTTATTTAGATTACTCATTGTATAAGGGTTGACTTCATATTTGGTTTGTTCTCTATTTAATGTCTACAATGCTATCCACAGAATAAGGCATACAATATGTGGTATATGAATCTTTGCTGGAAGAATGATGAAAGAAATCAATTCTAAGTCAAAAGCTATCTAGAAATGCTATTTTGAGGTTACTATTCAAAATGAAACACTCTGGGGCAGGTGTGTGGCACAGTGGATATGCTGTTGCTTGGGACAATTGCAACCCCTATCAGAGTTCCTGGTTGCAGGTCATGGCTCGGATCCTGATTCCATGTTCCTATTAATGTGCACCTTGGCTACAGGCTCAAGTACTTGGGCGCCTTTCACCCATTTGGGAGACCATCTTTGAGTTTTGAATTTCTGCTTTGGCCTGGTGCCATCCTGAGTGAAGTGGGCATTTGGGGATTGTACTAGGAGTAGATGGAAAATCTCTCTCTCTCTCTCTCTCTCTCTCTCTCTCTCCCTCTTTCAAAAATAAAAATAAAAATAAGGAAAACTTTTTTTAAAAGGGAACATTCCAAAACGTTTGAGAAAACTTATTCTCAAAAGTGATGGTTCAGTTTTAAAACAATGATTCAACTCAAATATACATGCATTTATAATATCTTCACCTAGTAAACCTTTAAGGACAAGATCTGAAATTCACTTTATGTAACACGTGCAACTAATGACATATATATAAATGATGAAATAAAATGTATTGGTATATGTGCATAAAGCAATGGTTCTCAGCCCAGAGCCATTTTGCTACATCCAGAGAGATTTTTGGTTTTTGTAATTGAGGAACTGAATTTCTATTTCCTAAATTTGAACAGGATTAGATGTAATCAGCATGTTGTCTGGACTGTACAGCTACATATCAGTACTTATGTACCTAGTGTTATGATATTGCAATATATTAAATATAGAATGGTTACATACATGGTTTGCCTAACAGAAGAATATCTATTAGTTATAAAAATATAATTTTTATTTTCTATTCTTAAACATTC